TTTTTTTTTTTTTTTTTTTTTTTTTTTTTTTTAACTTTAGAAAATTAAAATTGGCTGGGGACCCTTAAATCCGCCCATGACCACTAGGGATGAGTTTATATCATTTTCTTGAATTACCAAATGTAAAACCATAGTTTTATCTTAAAAACAAATTATCTTTTATTGGCGATTGCCAGCAAATAACATTTAAATTCCGTCCTCCAAGTGCCATTATTTGTATTGACCACTAACAAGATAGAAAATGAATTGCTAAGACTTCCATGTTAATTAATAATATTGTTGATTTAAAGAGAAGAAAAAAGGCTCATTCTTTATTTAAGAAACTAATTAATTTAATGAGTTTAGTCTTCCGGCTCTCTTTTATTGGGACTGGGATTTAGAAGAAGAAAAATTCAGTTTACCATAACAGATTCCTCAAATCTCTCCTTCTAGTAAAAGAACTCTCTCTAATAACAATAACTAATTCATATAAAAACGTCTTTAATTGTGTAAACCCTTACCTCGCCTCCATCAATTGCCATGGCTTCGTTAGAAATAGATATGCAAAATATTGATAAAGAAGAGAAGATGGAAGATGACGATGACGATGAACAAGTAGTTTCCCTTATAGAGGAAGTTCGACTGACCGTCCCGAACGACGACGATCCGTCCCTTCCAGTATGGACATTTCGAATGTGGTTCCTAGGAATAATCTCTTGTATTCTTTTATCGTTTCTGAATACGTTTTTCAGTTACCGTACTGAGCCTCTTATAATAACCATGATATCTGTGCAAGTCGCTACTTTGCCCTTGGGACGTTTCATGGCCAATGTGCTTCCTATGCGAAAGTTTCGCGTTGGATCAATGGAGTTTTCTCTCAATCCTGGGCCTTTTAACATGAAAGAGCACGTCCTGATTTCGATATTTGCTAATGCTGGTTCGGCGTTTGGGAGTGGATCGGCTTATGCTGTCGGGATTGTGGATATTATTAAGGCTTTCTATCATAGGCAAATCTCTTTCTTGGCTAGCTGGATTCTTGTTATCACAACTCAGGTATAATCCTATTACTTTCTTTTTCTTTACTCGTATGTAAGTACGTACAGAATATACAAACATATACGTACATGCAGGTATTGGGATACGGGTGGGCTGGGATTTTGAAGAAATATGTGATAGAGCCTGCAGAAATGTGGTGGCCAAGCAGTCTAGTTCAGGTTTCTCTCTTCAGGTATATATATTTGCAGCAGAATGAGAAACTTGTGCCTTTTCATTATTGGGTAAATATATTCATGACGTCGTTATTTTCAAACAAATCACCGTTTTCAATTCTTGGGATAAAAATAGTAGGTATGAGTTTTGTTGCAAAAACTAATATTGGTATTTGTACGCATTCTCATCCCTCCCTACTGTGCTATTACTTGTAGAAAATCTCGTGGATTCAAGTACAGAGTCATGTTTTATTTAATTGTACATGTTTGCAAGTTGAATAATCACCTGGAAGAAAAGATGACATCTATTGTTCCCATTTCTGTCTCGCAAACAACTCCGCTCATCATTTCTTGTTCTGGAATACCATATGCTATTTTTGTCCAGGCAATGTTCAAGTGATTTGACTTTATTGTAAGATTTTCCATAAGCA